GCTACTTTCTTCATGTATTTAACACATTAAAGACCCGGTCAAACTCAACCTGGAACCATAATCTCTGTGCAGTTGATTATTAAACTCAAAAAAGGGAAGCATTAAATTAAAAACAGAAAAAAATGGTCCCGGTGAATCTACTGGTGGGTGGAATGCAAATCGGACCTGAGGCTAAAAAACACAAATGGTCAGACTTAATGACCTTCAGCATAACAGCACAGAAGCATTACAGTACATTTGTATATTCTAGGTACATCAAGTGAAATCTAGGTGTAATAAAAGCCTACAGATCTCTATATAAAAGTATATAATGTCAATGCATGTGCCCTGCACTACTTTCAGAGAAGCATTTCAATTATGATTGATTCTGCAATATGAATATAAATCTCCAAAACTAAAATATTCAGGGGAGCAAAGCTCCTCACATGTTCACTATAAAAGTGACTTCAAAGTCGCCTTTACCACTTTGACATTCTTGGCCTCTGCATTACTCCTCTGGCTCAAAGGCACCGGGCTCCTGAACCTCTGGGGGCCTTCCTGAGGGATTATGAAGTTGAGCTAGACAAAAGCCCTTAAGCTTCTCTTGCAGACTACCTATACCCAGCCTCATCTGGTCTTCAGCCCCCTGAAGTGATTTCAGCTCCATTGTGTAAAAGATGTACAACATGGAGGTGGTCAGCAGAATGGCAAAGCACAGCACAGCCAGCAGGTAGAAGGAGGTACGAGGGAAAGGCTGTTCTGCTCCCAGAGCTAAGTAGGGCACCGCGGCGATGACCAGCTCCAGGAACAGCAGAGCCAGCCCCATCACTCCAGTGCGTGCTGCTGTGTAGCGCATCCTCTCAGCACAGTGCAAGCCCACTTTGACTTCAGTGCGGGCCTCAGTCACAATGTCAACCAGTTCAGCCAGTTTCCCTAAGTCCATGAAAGAGAGACAAGAGAAAGAGTGGAGCCTTTATACCAGTACAAAGCTGGAGAGCAAAGCACTGCAGAAAGTGTTGAAGAGTCAAGCTCTATACTGGACAGGATTATTGTTACAACAGAACATTAAATATTCACTGTGCTCCATGTTATTTAACCCACTGTTCCTGGCACAATTTAACCAGGGATGAAATTACAACATGTGGCCTAGAATAGTCCTTTTGGAAGAGCAGCCAGAAAACAAAACAAAACACCAGCATATACTTAAAGCTGGCAATACAGCCTGGCTACAGAGCTCCACTAGGGCTGTCATTTCTTTTTCTTTCTTGTCTGACAGATTAAAATTGCTCTGATAGGTAAAAGTGGAGGAATCAAAATGGATTTTCCATTGAATAATTTATACCAAAGTAATTGGACAATCAATCACCTTTACACGAGACAACCTGCTGGCATGGAGTGTGCAGATACCTGTAGTAGAGTCCTTATTCTTCAATTTTCCGTCACTTCCTGTTTCAGCCGGAGTGTGCAGCTCCAGCCTCAGTTCAGCAGTGAGAGCTTCATGGTCGGAGTATGGGAAAGGACGGTTGGGAACGGAGCCTTTGGTAGTGGACATGGAATCACAATGGACGTCGGCTTTTGAAGAACCCTGGGAATAACAAGAGGGCAATCATGCTTTAGCAGTTACATGGCTTTATAAAAATCATCAGATGACATGCTGCTTTCACTCACCTTAAATAGTATGTAGTCGATTCGAATCCCCTTTTCAAAGGGTACAAGCTCCTTTTTACTAATAAAAGGGTTGTCTGCTATAAGAGTCATACCATTCTCACATCCCTGCAAGAAAAAAAAACTTGCTTAAATTCAATTTACATAAAACCAAAGTGTAACAGAAAGCTGCTTCTACTTTTACAACCCTGGCATTTCTTGAATAATACCATTTTACTTTGCAGCTCAGACCTTAAGATATGAGACCACAATGACACAGTAGCAAAGCTACTTTTGAGCCAATCTGTGTGCAGCTCTAAGAACCACAATGAATAGCCAAGACTTTATGGTCCAACTTCCTATTGCATCAAAATAAATGTGTTAGAGCCTGCATAACTGCATGCATGGCAACTCTATGACTGCCACTGTGCCTCGTATTTCAACTTGAAGTGATGTAAATTTAAATGCACTAAAATCTGCAAGGATCTACATAAATAAAAAAAGGTACTTGATTTCATTACTGCACTCACTGTTTGAATACAGATTAATACTTCTACATACATCAAATTTAGCCGTTTCTAAATAAGAGTCTTGCAGTCCAGTGTAAGCCCTCAGTAGTCTGTTCCCAAGGTCCTGAGGGTGCATGTTGAGGTCACCACCAACAATGACCACATCTGCACCAGCAGAGGTGTGGCTAAGAAGCACAGAAAAAAAC